TAAGAGCATGTTTATCCCTTGATCCTTAAGTGGATTTCTTAATAATTATTTAATATTTTAAATGTATTTAAGTGGACTTAAGAACTCTACTTAAGAAACTCCTATTTTCAGCGGTCCAATGGGAGTTTCTTAATTAAGGATTCTTAATTTTTTTTATTTTTAAAGATAAAATTTATTTATTAAATAAAACATATTAAAAGATGATATTTAAAACATAGATTTAAAAAACGTAAAACTAAATACTAGTACAATAAGCAAGAATAATTTGGAAAAACATCCGAGCTCATGCTCGGTAGTTGTCACAAGTATTGTTTTGTCTTTCAGAAATGGAACTTTGTGATTGTAATTGTAATGCTTGTGTTTCTGTTTCAAAGAGAGAATGGAACTTGTATTGCATGGTGATAGAGAGAAGAAGAAGAAGACTTTGTGACTATAATTGTAATGCTTTGTCAATAAACGTTTTATATCGAGAAGGGGAAAACAAACCAACAAACATACAAACAAACATCACAAGTCATTCACAAAAACCACAATGTGAATGAGTTTTCCGTTTTGCATTATTACCTCGTAACCTTTGTAGTCATGAGCTGGATAGATCAGTGTGTCCTTTAGCAATGTAAATATCTGGTTAAAGATGAATCAAAAACGTTTTAATATCAGTTTGCTTTTGGAGTGACAAGATAATATCAGTCTTCATGAATTGCTGGATCAAATAACAGTCTCCTTGCCTACATTGTTTAAACCAGAATCATTTAAAAACACTGCTATCTGATCATGACGAGCTGCTAGATGACCAACACAATATTAAAATTGTAGCAATTTCTTCTATTTCATTCTTCAAAACAATTAGATGCCAATACCAAAAACAAAAATAATACTTGATTACTTACAATGACAACACTGATTCCTTTCCACATCAACTCTTCACCAATTGTATTCTTCTCAGCCTCTGCAATACGGCATGATGTTGCTATCCACGTCTTCTCTCCTACTTGACCTTAAAGGAAATACCAAAATACTTTCTAAATTCAGAATTTTCAACAGCAAAGGCTACAACTTTTGGGAAAATCAATTTAAGACCTGATTGCTCTGTGGTGGCTTTTGGAAGCAACAAGAAGTATTTTTTTTTCTCAAGGGAACTGTTCTTCCAGGGCTGAGCTGAGACTATTGAGTCCTCGACAATGAGAAACACGGAGGGGACACCGTCGTTATCAAACGATTCGTAGTCCATCACGAAGCTTTGATCCCCAATTTTTCAAAGAGCTTCGGAGATGAATATAGAATCAGGAGAAAGCACACACCAATTTGAGGAGAAGACGGAGGAGTCGCCGTGAGGACCGAGAGAATTGTCTTCGTCTGTGCATGCTCTCGATCGGTCTTCTGTCGGAGAACTTAAGAGAAGACAGAGGAGACGCGATGAGGACAGCAGAGTCGTCCTCCGTGATGGGTTCCGATCCTTCCTCTGACGGAGAAGACGGAGGAGTTGTCGACTGGACCGGCAGAGTCATCGTCTTTCGTCGGTTTCGATCATCTGTCGGAAACTGAAACGGTGAAAAGCCAAGAAAGAGAGAAAAAATTTTGAAAAGAAAAGATAAAATATGGTGCCGACACGTGTTTTAAGAACCACCGTAAAGTCGATATCAAAAGTCCCCTATTAAGGATCGGTAATATGGTTTTTCTTTTCTTTTCATTTAATTAAATCATCAATTAAGCTTAAGAAACCCTTTAGTTCCTTGCGTTAAACATGGTCTAANAAGCCAAGAAAGAGAGAAAAAATTTTGAAAAGAAAAGATAAAATATGGTGCCGACACGTGTTTTAAGAACCACCGTAAAGTCGATATCAAAAGTCCCCTATTAAGGATCGGTAATATGGTTTTTCTTTTCTTTTCATTTAATTAAATCATCAATTAAGCTTAAGAAACCCTTTAGTTCCTTGCGTTAAACATGGTCTAACCGTCTAGGCGCTAGATGATCCTCTTCCATTTTGATTTATGTCAAATCACTATAGAAAATTAGTCGTTCGATTTTAATCTGTCTAGACCGTCTAGATGACCGTCTAACCGCATAATCTATTTTTTGTTCTTTTAATAATATTTTTATCTATTTATTTGATTTAAAATTGAATAAATATAACTTATGATGAAAATTATATCATATTAATTTTATCTATTCTTTTTGTGTGTGTTTATAAGATTCTAATTATGAAAATGTATTAACGTTATACACAATTAAAGTTTAACATATTTCATAACATATTAAATATATATCTAAAAGTTATGCCCCCTATAATGTCCGTTTAATCCTCGATTTTCTCTCTAGACGTAAAGTCCAACCATACCGTCCGACTAGCACCTATCGCGTTCCCAAACATGGGCACTAGTACACCAAACTAACAGCAAATAAAAATCAGAAAACTCAGATTAAATCAGAAAGAAAATATATTTTAATTTGATTTGTTAGTTGTTTACAAAAAGAAGCACATGGTTGGAGCTGACCTCAAACTCGCATAGACGCTACTTACTCCTCAGACAAATGATTTTGAAAGGTCATCACAGCTGATCACAAGATATTATTATTGCATCAGAGAGTACCGTAAAAAAAAACTAAATATGTACTCCAAGAACGTAAAGTGTAAATTATGAGTACGACAATACGAGAAGACAGGTTTATATTGTTGAGTGAGGCCATAAAACATATATCAAACCAGTCAAATATAACAAAGTAAAAAAGATAAAAGACAATAAAAGTATGTTATTCAAAACTCTAAAAAATTCTGATGGAAGATTAAATCAAACATAACTTTTCTTGATGGAAAATGAAATCAAACCGCAAAGCATCACCTATGCTTCGAACTAAACTGAGAAATCATATAAATATGTGACTCTTTTATGTGATTTTTAAAGTGTTACTGGTCCTAGGAAATATGGTTTTGCATAGTCCTAGGCATTCAGATTTTCAGTTCGAGTTGATTCGGTTTATTCAGTTTTCGGGTTATTCTGGTTATGATGTTTAGGAATCGGATATTTTTGGATTGGTTCAGTTCGGATAATGTCGAGTTCGGGTCGGGTTTCTATTTTTTTTTTAAAACCCGAAGTGGAACTGTATTACAAATAATTTAGGTTTAGTTTGGGTCTGAAACCTAATAAACCGAAAAAATCCCGAAAACCCGAGTTAAACTCGAAAACTCCAAAAATTATTCGAGTTCTTCGGATAGTTCAGATTTTTAGATATTTTTATTTGTAAATTATATTATATATATATATATATTAAAACGACAAATAATAAATATTTTAATACATTAAAATATTCGGTTATATGTTCGGTTCTCGGTTCGATTTCGACTTTCGAATTTGGAAATATAAGAACCGTTCGGATTTCTATAATTTTCGAACCGAATTTGTTTCAGTTTTAGTTTTTTTGGTTTGGTTTCGATTCGGTTTTTGGATTTTGGATAATATGCCCATGACTAGTTTTGTGCTGGTCATGTCAGATAAACAAAGAAAAAAACAATAGAAGAAACCTAGTGGTACTAAACATTTTGCCAAAAGAACAAAAGAGTAAATAATGGTACCGGCTTTCCGAAAAAATATAATAAAAATAGTACCAAATTACCAATCATATTCATTTATACTATTATCGAAGTGGTGGATGCTTGAAACTGCAGAAGATATATCTTCTATTATAGGACATTAAACAATCTCATGTAATTTTATACTAGATTTAAGCCTGGCATTGCATGTGTTCTGATGCAGCTGTACTTTGTATTCTTTTATTCTTTTGGATAACCTACATACCACCAGCATGTTTTCGGAACAACATTTTATTCCGAAATACTTGACTATATATGTCAGTAGTATTCGCTGTTCGTTGAAAAAAAAAAAAAGAAAAATATTGCTAATCATAGTTTTTTTTATTTGAAAATACTAATCATACGTTTTTATTTGGATTGTTTTAAACAAACAGATGCGGATCACTCGAGTGAAATGCGGGCAGTTATTTCATCTACATATCCTAAACATTATTTGAATTTTCTTTAATTTTCTTTTTATTTCTATTTTATTATTGCATTCATCATAGGACAAATCTTCAAAATAACACATTTCTAAATTTATGTCACAAAATAACCTTCAAAAACTAAAATGATCAAAATAGCATTTTATCTTTTGAATTTTTTTTTTCAAAAATTGAAATCTTATCTCCAAAACTCCACTCTCCAACTCTAAACCCTAAAACCTAAATTCTAAACCCTATACTCTAAACTCTAAACCCTAAACCCTAAATCACACCCCTTAACTCTAAACTTTAATGTCTAAATTAATTTATCATTAGGATATAGATGTATATTTATCTCTTTTGATAAAACATTAACTGTTATTTTGGTCATTTTTATTTTTAAGTGCTATATTTGTGTCAAAAAATTTTTTAGTGGTATTCTAATCATTTTCTCTTCATTCTAACCAGAAAAATAATATGCCTTATACAAAAATATATAAGATGGTTCAAACTAACCATAAGTTATAACATATAGAATTTCGTCACATCAATAATTATATTTTATTATTGCACCACATTAAACACTAAAATAAAATAAATACATATACACCACATTTGTGTCCAAAAAAACATATACACAACATTAAAACTAAGATATATATATATATACTACCATAATTAAACAGAGTTTGGAGAAAGTGGCCGTACACGTACACGAGTAAATCAATGTGAATCACATGCACATAGGGTGAGTTGTTTGTTGTCGTACGAAGAAGTCAAACGTAAGTAAGATGTCCGATCACGTGCGCCACATGCTTCTTCCGCGTAATTTCTACGTTTCTTATTCACGCTTCAACCAAACAATTATATATCATTTTTTCTCAACATTCGTCAATAATCAACTATATTATGTACATTACAATTCGATATGTTCCTACTTTATTTTTCAAGACGCAGTAGAATAACGTAACAAACTAGGCCCATGCATGCTTCGTGCCCACTATTATATTTCTTATTTTAGTGATTTTATGTATACAGAGGATCATATATCACATGGGATCGATATAGGAAAAATATTATATAATTAAATGGTCATACCGACTACAATATTAGTACACCAAACAAACGCATCAAGTAAAATCCAGGAAACGTAGATTAGTTAAGAATAATATACAACGTACCATGCACTACCTCACATTTTAATCGACATCTAAACAACTAACTTTAATTAATTAGTTAGTAATAAAACTACACATATTTGAAACAATCAACCGATAACGGAAGTATATATCATCATTTCCTCACTAGTTATCTACATCTGTCCTACATACACGGATCATGTCAACACAATACAAAACCTACTAACTTTCATGTATATTAACTAGGTGATTCTCGTGTGGTTATACACGAATATAAATATTTTTAAAGTAAATATATTATAATAATATTAATATTAGCTTATTTTAATTAGATATATGATTTTAGATATGTAATATGTAATCTGTTATTTTCGGATTAATAGCTGATCCAGTTATCACTTACATATATTATATTGCATCTATTTCTCTAAATTCAATTATAATACTTTTTGGTCAAAATCTATTAAAATTTGATTAATTTTTAATTTATATTTATGTTGGTTCTTATCTTAGATATGTAAATATATTTAAATAAGATTATGAATAACTTAATATACATTATTCTTAGAATGAAATAAAAAATAAACTAAAATGTTTGAATCAATTCATAAATGAATATAGCGGTAATATTCTGAAGTCTCATACATATATATAAATTTTACAAAAGAACTAACTTATAACACTTGGTTAATATTTTATTTTTATTTATTAATATGTTTTGAGTCATCATGTATTTTATATTTATAAATATAAATTAATTATTATTACAGAATGTTGTTATTGTAGGTAGATCTTTGATGTTTCATGATTAGTCCGTTTACTCTTTTTTTTTTTGTGAACATATTGAGTTACATATATTTTTTCAAATTCAAACTGAATTACTTTTGATTCTAATTAAGTCAAATCTCAATAGTTTTATTTATCGAATCATGTCAATTCTTCATCTTAAATGTACAAGTAAGTTTTTGTAATTTTTAATATTTTGATATATGTTTACTTTGAAAACATTAGAAAATAAAACGATAAGCAGTAAGAATTTATTTCTAAATGAATATAACTGACAAAACTGATGATTTTACAATAATTAAAGTGTTATATGCATTAGATTTATTAAAAGATAAATTAAAATACTTTTAAATAATCTTAAACATGAGAATTCAGATTTGCTTGATTATCTTTGTGATTTTTTTTTTCTATGAAATTACATTATGTACTAACAAAAAAAAAGAAATATATAAATAAACTATTTTTGTTACTTTGAAAATATATTTTATGTTATCTAAACTTAGGTTTTAAAGGGAATATTACTTATGTTCTTAATATCAATATTATTTTGTGATTTGTTTTAAAAAATTATATTATAGATACATATATTTTCGTTTTAAATTTTTTTGCTAAAATTTACAATCTTTTAATTGTTTATGTTATTGGGAAAAAATAAAAAGTAAAGTAAACAAAAAACCAATTAACAGAAACTACTAAATAAAAATATAATAATAGTATTCAAATGTAATAGTTTTAAATAGGCTAAAATCATATTAACTTTGTTAGTTGCTTTTAATTTGGTTTATTATCTTGAACTCCATTTTTTAACTTTTGATTAATGAATTAAAAGTAAACTGATTTTAAAAGCAAGCGTTAATATTATTTTAAAATCATATTAAATTTGCTAGTTGATCAAATAATTCATAAACCCATGATCACATTAATTTTTGTAAAGAAAATTTGGAATATTTCTCGATTTGTATGTGTCATCCTTGCGGCAAGGCCATCCTACTATATATTGTATATCTATTATATTATGTATATATATCATATACAATACATTTTTATTTTTACCTAATAAACAGATAGGCTTCTATTATACTATATATTTATATATATCATATACAGATATATTTCTATTTTCATCTAAGAAAAAGATGGATATGAAAAAGGTATTTTTATTATTTTGAAAGTATATTTTATGTTATTCACAAATTGGTTTTAAAGAGATTATTACTTATTTTGTGAATTTTCCCTTTTAATGAAATCATAGTATATATATACTTGTATTTTCATTTTTGAATTCGGTTTTAAACTTTATAAATGTTTCTTTTTATTATATACATTATTTTAAAAATTTAAAAAGCAAATTAAATTAAAAATATAGTTAATAGAAATATTAATAAGTAGTTAATAATAATATTTAAATATAATATTTTTGATTCACTAAGAATATTTCCATAATTAACCATCGTAATAATTAATGTGAATATGACATATATGAAAATAACTTCTCAAATAATATTATAAAGATTATTTGATCTAAACCAAAACACAAATAAATTCAAACCAAGTCAACTTTAACTTTTTCTTAGTGGCGATTTTAATTCATTTATTATAGATTAACTTCCATTTCTTTTGAATTGGAAGTTCCTTGAACCAAAGTCAACTTAGCCAACCTCAACCTCCCCCAAAAAGTCCAGCATACCATACCATGTATGTCTCAGAATTAGTAAAGATTTTGGTTATCCAAATATATTTCGACAGAAAAAACATAAAAATACAAATAGCACATGACTTTCAACAAAATTTTAAAATTCATGATAGTATATATTATTTCGTATATATAATATATATAGTAACTTACCTATATGTTCATTTGGCATACAATAATAGTAAATGAGTTTTGTATACAATATTTTGATGACAAAAAATGAAAATATAGAACCGGTACTTATTGGCAACTACAGTCAATGAATTTTGTATTTGACACGAGTTCATTATTTATTTTTCTGAAAAAAAAAGTTCATTATTTGTTCTCTACTTGTCTTAATATTAACATCCTTGTAGACAGCCAGACATATATATGATCCCAGCTGTATGCATATTAGGAGTGTTACGAGTTGTTTGCCCATCTTATTATTTCATCCACATTTAAAAATGTTTTTAACTGGTTTAAAACAAGGATGACACGCACATTTTTTTTTTATCTTCTACTTCATTTCTAGCAACATATATTCTACATTTCTACTTGGTCTGAAATTAAGTTGTGATATTCACAAACCACACCTATATAAAACAAAAAAAATTGGATAAGTAACCTTAATTAATATGCACGATCCGAACAAATTAAAACAATCATATTTACGTAATGGGTTTAAAGATCAAGACATAATACAAGTTTATAATAATCGATTTATTCTTTTACCATTTACGTGTATTTATATATATATATATATATATATATATATATATATAATTACTATTTACGTGTACATATGTATATTTTTATTTTTTATCATTTACGTGTATATATGTATATATATAAAATTAGTACAATAAGCTGTGACAATAAATTCACAATGTTACACCTGTCTATTTCTCACAAGAAAAACGGAAATATATTTTTGTTGACAAAAATGATAAAGAAACAAATTTAGAATAGGAAAATCTAATAAAGAGAAAGAACTGGTCCTAGGGGTTAGAGATGAGACATTTATTATATATATAAATGCACACGAAACACTGATAGCAGAGAAACACAAAAATCTTTCCTTTTGATCTTTTCTCACAAGTTGACAGATAAACTACAACCCATAGTCTCTTGTTCAGACATTAAAGATCGAAGTTACTTTTGTCTGACAGATGCAGGTCTTCGCCAACTTCGATTTCCAGCCTTCGGCGTTCGCTCACGCCACCGGAGAGATACTCATTTCTCCGGTAGGCCACCGGGACGAATCTTTCGTTAACTTCACGGAGGCGCTTGAAGGCGCAAATGATGACTCGCCTCCTACCTTGGCGGCTGTGAAGGTACAGAAGGTTTACAGGAGTTATCGCACGCGCCGGAGATTAGCGGACTCTGTGGTTGTTGCCGAAGAGCTCTGGTAAACCTTTTTTTTTGTTAATGGAAAACTATAATTATATGGTGGGATTAGTTTGAGTTATTAACGTTAATTAATGATGTAATGAAGGTGGCAAGCGATGGATTATGCGAGGTTAAATCATCGTACAATCTCATTTTTCGATTACTCAAGACCTGAAACTGCAGTCTCCAGATGGAATCGTGTGAGCTTGAATGCTTCTAAGGTATGCCTTATTCCTTTTTGTCTTAATATAAAGAAAAAGTTAACTTTAAAAGATTGTCAAAAATTATAAAGAAGTGAGATTGTACTTCCTAAAATTAAGACCCAAATTATAATATATATATTAAAGAATTATTTTTCAGTAATATTATGTGAAAATGTCTCAGATTATAATATTATTGTAAGAACAATTATCCACTTGGTTAAAAAGGTTTTGTAAGCATGTGGTTTGGTTGTGGTTAGGTGGGGAAGGGTCTGTCCATCGTCGACAAGGCTCAAAAATTGGCGTTTCAGCATTGGATTGAAGCTGTAATTCTTACGCTTTTCCATCAATTTTTTTTTATACTTTTTTTTTGTTAATATTCGATTAATTGAGTTTTAGGTATAACAAGTATATACTAAAATAGACATTTATAATCAGATTGATCCTAGGCACCGGTATGGACACAACCTACATCTGTACTATGAAGAATGGTGTAAAGCTGATGCGGGCCAGCCATTTTTCTACTGGTATGTTTAACCTTCTTAAACCAATTATATTCTCTCGGTTTATTTAAACCAGTTATTGCCTAAAGATTCCTTTTGCTAGTGTTTTCTTGTACCTCAAGAAAATGGATTGGTGTGAATCTTATCTGTAGCTTTATAATATATCGGTTTCTTGCAGGTTGGATGTTGGAGATGGGAAAGATCTAGATCTTATAGATTGTTCAAGGTCGAAGCTTAAGCAGCAATGCATCAGATATCTTGGTCCTGTATGTGCCAGGTTTTTCTGGTTAATTTTATTTTTACATATTTTGCGGATTTCTCATGTGATTTTTTTTTTTCTGGTAACTACCAGCAAGAGAGGGGAGAATATGAGTATGTGATCATCGATGGGAAGATTGTTCACAAGTTAACAGGAAATTTTCTACACACGATGCACGGATCTGAGGGAACAAAATGGATATTTGTTATGAGTACTTTTAAGAAACTCTATGCCGGTCTGGTAGGTTTTCTTGAAACCCGGTTTAATATTACTGTTGAAAAATATTTTAATGGGGTCTTTTATTTTTGTTTATGTATACTTCAGAAAAAGAAAGGAAGGTTCCATCACTCAAGCTTTTTGGCCGGAGGAGCTACACTAGCTGCAGGGAGGGTGGTCGTTGACAATGGAGTTCTCAAGGTATCTACTAAGTGTGTTACATTTACAGTAGTTGCTTTTATTTTACATTTTCCAAAGAGTTAAAATGAGTTCTAATCATTTTTATGTCTCCGTACGTTTGTTATGTATATTTTTTTCAGACAATTTCTGCATACAGCGGACACTACAGGCCGTCAGATGATAGCCTGGAAACCTTTCTCTCGTTTCTCAGAGAGAATGAAGTGAGCCTAGACAATGTTGAGGTAAACTATTTGTTCTACGGCCAAATCTTGGTATTGAGACATGACCAACTGTGAGATTATGGAGAATTTAAACAATTTAGCAAAGATTTTAGTAAAACAATTTTATGTACAATTTAGCATACATTTATTCGAATATTTTGGAGGTTCAAAGCTAATGTCATATCATTGACTAGAATATGGTTGTTTCGAGAGCAGACTACTTGAAAGCTAATAGTATTAGTTACATTTGTCTTTTTTAGGTGCACAAAGCTAGTGAAGATTCAGACAATTACGATGATTACATTAAACCCAATATTGAAGATGGAACCAAATCTTTAAAGAAAGAGCATGCAACGTCATCCAATGAAGAGACTGAAACGGATGAAAACAGCAACGAAACACTTGAGGAGACAAAAGGGTGTACTTACCAGAGAACGCTCTCAGGTGGTGGGGTTGAGAGCCCAAAATCTGATGTTCCAGAGAAAGCAATGCTACAAAGGATCAACTCAAAGAAACAGTCAAAATCATTACAGTTGGGTCATCAGTTGATGCTGAAATGGTCGACAGGAGCCGGTCCAAGGATCGGTTGTGCAGCTGATTATCCAGTTCAGCTCAGAACTCAGGCTTTGGAGTTTGTAAACTTATCGCCTCGATACCGGACCAGCACATTGTCTCCGACCGGGAGGCTTGATCTTTGATCATATGTTATCCTTGTTCTTAATTAGTAGTTAAACTTATTATTATGAGACTTTTATTAATGTGTGACTTTTATCTACCTAAAATTTTGTTGTGTGTTTGTTTTTCAACCTGAGATGAAAATAATGCGATGTGTTTTATGTCAAAGCTTTTTTTAAAAAATATATTCAAATAGTGTTCATAACCAGGGTAATTAGCATCAATTACCTTCTTTGGTTTATTCTCTGAACAGGCTTTATTAAACACTTGCGAATATATTTAGGCCAGAGGATACAACATCTCTGTTCCAAAATAACCAATATTTGCCACTGTATCTGTACATAACTCAATATTTTTGTAACAACTGCACACAAATTTATTATAACGTGAGAGAAGAGTTTTTTTCCCAATAAAAAAACGGATTAAGAAGAGCTTCAGTTGTTTGTTCTTTTAACAAGAGAGATACCACGTGGATCACCACCCCATTCCTCAAACACAACTAGAAGGTTCCCAAATGGCTTTAGCCATGAACGAGGAACATGGTACCTGGAAAAAGGAAAACCCGTTAATATATCAATCACGTGTTAGAAGAAGGATGATGAAGAAGAAAGACAGTTTTCAGTTTTTATGCTCACCATCTTTGAGAAGATTGGCCACAGTTACTGAGACATTTCTTTTCGTTGTAAATCCCAGCATAGTTGCAGTGTCCGCAGTTTCCACGAGCCGTATAGGCAGGCCAATGACGTCCAATGTTGCGTCCATTTACCCAAACTTGACCTTTCCCCATTGTGTTCATGTCCAATGCCAATGGTTCATTGCCTACTGGCGCATTAAAAGAAGACTGCAAATAAAAGTGTAAGAATCAGATATGGTACATGTCTTATACTATGCTCGTAAACTAAGGTCAATATTAAATCCATATATATAGTCCACCACAAAACAGGTTTGAGTGTCTATGAGACTTGGGAACGTACTAGTTAGTCTAATTTTCTAATTAAGGTAAGGTAGTAAACATAGTCCCAGCCGATCCATACTTTATTTTTATTAGCCTAGATAGACTAAGAGCACCCCCATCAAGGGTGATGGGGGAGTTCACACGCGAACCGAGAAAAAATAATAATATTAAAATCAGATTTCTATGAACCCCTCTCTCAGAAGTTCACCGCGGTGAACCCCGATGACCCCGGGTTCACCACGTGTCAACATATGATTGGTCGAAAATTAATATATTTTTTTTTTTTAAAGGTAAACGAAAATAAAAGGGAGGGTTCATCAATGTGGGTGCTCTAATCTCTTAAATTCATAATAAAGATCTGACTTTTTTTTGTTTGGCAATTTAGTACGTCTACCATGGTCAAACAGAACGGTCAGATAATTTTAAGGTTGACAAACTTTTTTTTTCTGACTTTTGACCACTTGATTCACATCCGGTCTTTAATTTGCTTTCATTTGTTATTTTTTTTTATTATAAATGCACTATAATAGCTACCAGTTAATATTACGCATATATTTGGAAATACCATTTGATTTTGCATGTAAATCTAGAAAAACGTTCATATATTTCTACAAAAAAATTACCCTAAAACATCTATTGAAGTTCTTACCTTGTACCAGGTCAAAGGTTGCTTCACGGCCACGGATGATCCTTCTGTCCATTTCACAGAGGAACTCCCGGTTATGGTATGCAGGCTCATAGCTTCGCCTTTAGTACCAATCTACTCAAATCACACACACACGCATAGTTCAGTACTGTGCATGGTTGGTATAAAGATTCAGCTACACTTAATTCATCAGACAATTGTTCATTAGGATTTAGGACCTTATAAGACCATTTCCATTTTGACATGTCCCATGTTCCAGAGTTAACTCCATTAAGCGTGGCTGGACCTAAAATTCCAATATTCCAAGTTTCATAGTGCACACCTGCGTTCTGTAATATAAAAGACACAAATCTCATAACTTATCATCATCTCCTGAGGGAAAATGGCAGTAATTAATCAAGTGAAGGAAGATCAGAACTAACCGGAAGACCCACTGCCGTACTAAGTAGAGCAAGTTTGTTGACGCCTTGGCGCAATTTGATCTTTTGACTAAATGTGAGCTTGGGGCTGCTCAATGCGCCATAGCTAGTTCCTAAAAAAAGGTGAATGTTGTAAGGACAGGAGAAGACAGAGTTAAGACCTTAAATTTGTCTTGTTTTACCTGCAAGCTGACCATTAACGAATACATGAAGAGCATGCCCAGCTGAACAAATGGTAAGAAGAGGATCTTCACCAGTTTTCAAGAACTTCTCATCAGAACCAATTGTGATGCTGATAATGAATAACCGCGAAACAGCATAAAGTTAGAACAATTAACTGTGATCAGAACTTAATTAGTTAGCAAGATACTGAGATTTAATTTGTCCCAACTAGGTCAAATATCACTTACTCTGTAAGGTACCAAAAGTAGTCTGTTTTGTCTCTGGTCATGCTTACTTGTTCCAACAGACCGTCTTGAGCAAACGTAGCATAGTCACTTGAAGTAGGGATCGCTTCGTTGTATGATTCCCATGAAAATCGCGTGCTTGTAGGAACCATCTTCATAAGAATGCTCGGTGAACGTACCTATATCATCACGTTACACATGACAAAGATATATATGTCAATCTCAATAAAGGATACAATTCCTACGAGTTCAGCAGCCGTCTTAAGCTATTTGAAGTCATTTGGAAATATTTATTGTTTAGTTTTTTTTTTAAAAAAAAAAATTAAAAACCCTAATATATATAGACACATGTAAATTTCTTATAGTATTTTTTTTTTTAAAAAAACGAGAATCTATATGAGTATAGCTAGAGCCGGTCTTGGATATAGACAAATGAAATATTAGTCTATAATCTCAAAGTTAAAGAATATTTTAAATAAATATGTCTTCAAGCTTATAAAAATAATATTAATTTTCTTTCTAAATTGTCTATATTTTCCCAAAATCTGAGTCGGTTTGTACAGTACACGAGTTGCACAAGTCAAAAGACTAGTAAAAAAGTAACTAATAATTTCGATAATAGCTTATCAGTTTATTAACCTTTGCAGTGTTGTGATACTCGGTTTTGCAGTCAGGTAAAATACTGATAGACCAAGCGGGCAATTCATACGGGAACCCTCTAAACATAACCTTTGCTGCATAACTTGTGTCGTAATTTGAGAGAAACGCAGCGCAAGAAGTCTCGGACTTGAACACATGAGCCTGAAATTATAACAAAAAGAATTGTATGATACTTTGATGCTTCCTCTCTTCAAAGTTACATTGCATACTTACTTCTTGCTTATTGCCGAGCGATGTGATGGTGGGATCAACAGAGACCAACGCAGGTTCACTTAGTTTGATGACTTTATGCAACTCTTTCAAATGACTATACTTGGGTTCTCTCAGTAATCCTTTTCACACACACACACAAATACTCGTTTTAGAAAATATGTAAAATGTAACATTTTTCATGTGATATCTTATATATTAAAATAGAAGTCATGACTTGACTTCATGTGTGATTTTTTTAAAAATGGATTATTACTAGAAAGTCATATTACATAAACTCTCTAATAATATTATTATTATTATATCTTATGAAAATTCATATATATAATAACAAAGATACGCTTAACAATTTGGTTTAGGTAAATTATCCCACACCTTCCAACTTAGTCAAAATATGTCAATAGATATAAGTTTAGGAATCTTCTATTATTTATAAGGAAATATGTCAATAATAGTTAAATGCATCCACAAAATATTAACAAAATCTCAGATTCCTAATATGGAATATTTATATACCCTACCAAAATGTACACGCTATATATACTAGATAAATTTATCTTTGCAAATTAAAGTATACAAATGAAATACCAAATCTAAAAAACAATAAAATATAGAAGAAGAAATAAACACATGTTTGAAAAACATATATAATATAAAAAACTGGAAACAATCTATTTGATTAAAACACGTATTATATAATATTATTATGTTTGAAAAACATTTACTATACATATCGTAAATATGTGATTACTATAATATATATCAATTTACAAGTGAAAACAAAATGTTTATAAAACTAACTATAAACGAAAACAAACAACCGCGCGGTTGCGCGGGTCAAAATCTAGTTAGTATTAATTACCATATTCATCAAGAGGAGCATCATAGTCATAGCTCGTGGCGATGAATTGGCCCGATGTTCTATCAAAGTTTGTCCCTCCATAATACTGTAACAACATTTTCTTAACTAACTCTTCAATCATAAGTTAAAGTAAAATATTATATTTTATAAAGTTCTTGATTTAATAAAATTATTAATGTTTCTTTTCAGAACTAATTTTAAAGTTACCATATAATAATTCATAAATGAACCACCGTTCTGTATAAAGCGAGCCACGGAGAAAGCAAGGTCTTCGACTGGTCTGTTTGGTATCGCACCTCCAAATTCCGTGAACCTGAAAATGATCACTCACGCTATCAATTTACAGTCTATTTTGTTGATTTTGTAAAAGTTTGTATAAAGACAAACAAGAAAGATAGCGATTCTGTATATATTGATAACTTCGTGACTTACCAACCAGTCCAGTTCTCTGTCCATATCTTGGGCTGATCGACTGAGTTTGGTTTGAAACCCTCACAATAAAACCCGTTGCATGTGTTTATCTATTATAGAGCGCAAGTTAAAAGCTATTACCATTCAGTATAAATCTAACTCCAAAGTTGAATAAAAATTGTTAATATTTAAAAGCTAAAGTTGAAGAAATATTATCCCCATGGATTATTTTGTTTTTGGTCAGTGGTCCCAAATAAATTAAATAGAAAAAGACATCATAGGGGGAAAACAGCAAAAAGGAGAAAACGATATTTTATTGTAACCATCAATAAAACAACACTATTTAACAAGAAAAAGATAATTACATAAAAGGAAAATTGAAAGAAAGTGATGGAACTATTTTCAGATTAGAAAACATAAAAAACTCGATAGTGTTTTCACCAAAAAATACAC